CCCTTCGGGACTCAAAAGGAGAAGACCTTCCCCAGCCCTCTTTTTGTTTGATGATCTATTAACATAAAGGGTCCAGGTCGACAGATTCTAGGCAGTTTCCTAAATGACTTCACTGGGCTGTTGCTCTGACTCATTCATCGGATGATATGAGAATTCTGATATGAAGTCGGAAACAGCTTGCCCTTTGATAGTTGATCTCGGTCTATATATCAGATCGAACTGACTTAATTCCATAGCCCATTTAAGCAATTTACCCTACGCCTCCGGTTTTTGGAGGACTTGCCTGAGCGGGTAGTTAGTCATTACATAGATCGTATGGGCGTGGAAGTAAAATCGTAACTTTCTGGAAGTGATTAGCGGGGCATAAGCTAATCATTCCATTTCTAGGTACTGTATCTCGGCATGTAACAGACGCTTGTTTGCGTAATGCACAGGCCATTGGACCCTATCCTTTTCCCGAATTAAGGCTACATTGACCACGAACTGAGAGACAGACAGATAGAGGAGGAGGATCTCTTGCGGGAGAGGCTTGAACATGAGAGGTGGCTTTCTGAGGTGTTCTTTAATACTCTAGAATGCTTGTTCGCACTCGGGAGTCCACTCGAACTTTTTATTCGCCCTTAGAATATTGAAGAATGGCAAGCAGCGATCTGTTGCCCTCGATATGAAGCAACTTAGTGCAGCTCCGGATCCATCGCTCTTCTCTTTTGGTGAACCGACTTGGCTTCACTGTCGATGTTCAATGCATGGCAAATAGTATCTGGGCTGATCCTGACCATGTCTGCATGTGACCATGCGAACACATCGATATTCTCTTTAAGGAAGCTGGTTAGTTCGATGGCGAGCTGGGGGTTGAGATTGCTCCCAATCCCTAACACTCTGCTAGGCTCGCTCTGGTTGACCGATACTTCAGACAGATCCTCAATTGGCCCACTGGAAGGGCATTCCTGAATACAAGAATCCATATTATCCTTGGCTAGGCTAGGCTGTGGCTTGATCCGGCTGATCGCCATTGCTTGTCGGGGAATGCCTCACGAGATGCCTTTCCCTTTGCATGCCATTTGCACTGCTTTCACATAGCAGTCACAAGATGCGCGTTGAGATCCACTGACTTCCCTATCCCCGTCGAGGTGGGGAACTTCATCTTCAGATGGTATATCGAAGTGACTGCCTTGATGTTTCTCAGTAGAGGTCGCCCCAGGATTCCATTAAAAGCGGATGGACAATCCACTATCAAGAATTCAGTTACCTTGGTCACTTCGTCAAAGTCACCCAGTGTGACTGGAAGCAAGATCGTTCTTTTAGGGATTAGGTGGTCCCTTGTAAAACCATATAGAGGGATCGAGGCGGGTTTCAGGTTAGCCTCGTCCAAGTTCATTCTTTCGAAAGCTATCTGGAACAGTATGTTCATAGCACTTCCGTTATCCACCAACATTCTGTGGATGTTATGACACCCTATTAGGGGCGTGATCACAAGAGCGTCATCATGGGGATGATGCAATCAAACTGCATAATTTTCGAAGAAGGTAATTTCCTCCTCCTTGCGAACCTTTTGTGGTCGCCGCGCCATGCTCATTACACTAATAGGGTCGAGATAGGCTACACGAGCATATCTTTCCTAGGCACCTCGTGAGTTTCCCGCAAGTTGCGGCCCTCCAAAGATCAAATTGATGCTGCAAATACCTTTGTGATCACATCACTTCTTTCCTGATTCCCCTTGATTTTTCTCTTGTGTGGGAGTGGAATCATTAATATATTCCTTGAAATGCCCTTGCTTGATGAGGTCTTCGATTGCCTGTTTGAGAGTTCGGCACTCATCAGTGTGATGCCCATTATCCCGATGAAAGTGACAGTATTTCTTATTATTTCTAACTGATAGGGGATTTTTCATCGGCTGAGGCTCTCCGAGCAGGCTGGCTTCTTCTGAGTTGTCAAGTATAGTTAATACAGACGCATTCAAAGGCGTATACTGATTTCTGTCGTGATCACGACGAGGAACGGGAGCATAGGACTTTTTGGGCTCATAGCGCGGTTTCTTTCCTTTTCGTTGATCGTCAGTAGTCCATCTGTGATCAAATCTTCTGCTTTCCTCCTGACCAGACGTACTACCTAAAGCGTCGGGGTCACGGTGGTGGAGCATGGCCATGGATTTTCAATTTGGAGGTACTTCTCTGCAAGGTTATAGAAGCGGGTGAGGGAAACATCATCCTCAGCCTGTAACTCTTTCCACAAGTCGGTCTGTGGGTGAACTCCTACTATGATGAGAGTCCGAACAGACTCTTCGGGAGTGTGAGCTACTTTATTTAGTTCTCTGTGGAATCGGTCGATGTAAGATTGGAGGGATTCATCCCTCTCTTGCCTTATATTGTTGAGATAGCTCAAAGGCATTGAGAACTTTCGGTTTGCTTAGAAGTGCCTCAGGAACGTTGCGTTCATTTGAGGCCACGAGTTGATCGATCCGGTTGGGAGCGACCTGAACCATCGTTTGGCATGAGAGGTTAGAGTTACTGCCAAACATTAGTACTTTGCCAAATCTGAAACCTGGTGAAGCTCCATCAGGTCGTTGAATTCATACAAGTAATCCTCCGGATCAGAAATTTTATCGAACGCCCGCATGTCGGGCATTCTAAATCTTTATGGGAGTGGGGCGACTAACACTACCGAAGAAAAAGGAGACACTGACGCAACCTGCCCTTGCTCGTTTTGCTGAGCTCTTAGCTAGTCTAGAGCTCGTTGTAACTCCTCAATCTAAGGCAGTAGAGTTATCTGGGGATTGCTTTCCCCCATGCGAGTTTGACCCTCGCGGTTGCGGTTTAGGAAAGTCTGGAGGTCGGACTCCACTTCGCCTCAACCGACAGTTTCGACCGCTCTCGACACACACTGGCTAGAGCCATGTGATGGCGATGAATAATGCAGGGAATTTTCAACTATGATCAGGATTGCTCCTCTAGCGGTGATGAGAATCGCCCCACCCAGCACTTTTATAGGGGTTTCCATGCGACGTGGCATGGGACGGCTCAAGCTGTGACTTTTCACCAAGTCTTAACGCCACAGGTATTCTACTCGGGACGTGATCGGTGTTCACCGGCCCTTTGGAGCCCTTAGGCCCATTTTTTGCCACTTGTTTACCCTTTCTTCGGCGCACTGTAGTGCTCGCAGCACGGGCTATCACCTTTTACCGCGCTTTCACGCGACCTGCAGGCGTTTTTGGCAGTTGCATCGCCTCATTTGATTCGGGTGGCATGCCCTGGTCCAAACGGTCTAACCTTCGGTTGACCGTTTGGAAAGTATTGTCGAACCTCTCCAGGTAGCTTCTGATGGCAGGGTCAAGTAGTGAACTTGACGGGATATCCCTCGCGACATTTTGCAAAATCGAAGGTACCTCGAGAGATGTGTCTTGTACTTGGGGGGATCTCTTCAACACCACGGTTGGTTCGCTCAGGTTCAAGTCGGCGGGCCATTTGCTATTGCAGGACCAGTAAGTTAGAGATTCTCCTGATGAAGGACGAATACTAAATCAGACCTTCTTTCTAGCGCCAAACTATTGATGCGTGATTTTGACACCAACCAAACGCACGTGTGAAATGCTAAGCTGGCCCAGAAGACACACGTGGATGAGAGAAATAGGTAAAAACAATAGAGAACAACGTTTAAAGTGGTTCGGATGCTAAGGAAGAAAATCCTACGTCCACTGATTTTGTATTAATGATAGTGGTCAGGTTGCGTTCAGCGGACTGAGTTACAAATGATTATACAAGAGAGATGTGCTATTTTTTCTTTAGAGAGATTAGCTAATCCCTTAAATGAGAGGGGAGCTCTCAATTTATAGTGGGATAGATTAAGGTTATCATTACTAAATCTGTGAGTTGGTGAGATTATCCGTGCAAATCCTTCTTTATGACCCATTGCCCACCTTCTAGATTGATTTACGCGATTTAGTGTAGGGATTAGACATGTGGAATCGCTATAGCTCCTGGCTGGTCTGATGCGCACCCACAGCCCTGACACGAGCATGCCACCCCTGTCATTGTATGACATGGCTGCCTCTGACTGGCTGCGGGCCTACCTAAGCTCTGACTTTTTATGCTGACTTAGTCTTGCGTCAGCCCTACATTTTCAGGCATAATGTAACAGATTTATCAATTCTTTAATTTGGTTACTGTGGTTAATTTATAGTGAACATTATTGATCATTTTATTTAGAATAGTATGAAGAGGATCTATGTTCAAGTTAGTGTTGCTTATTTTACAGGATTCTCTTTTTAATGCGCCCCCTTCCATATGGGCTTATATTCCTTGAAAACCTCATGAGTAGATCTGTCCAAAGTGACTTACATCTGAATTTTGCCTTCTCCATTTTCAATAACAGTTGATTTTCTTATCTAACAGGTTGAAGGTGTTAAAGGCATCATGGCTGCTTATAGGAATGCTCTCCACAATGTTTCTCTGGCAGGTGATAAACGTGGCTGCACAAATTGCTAGTCAGTCCACCTTAGGTGACAGAAGCAAGCATTTTGTCATGCTCATTATAACGGTAAATAGAATTATAACTTTTCACAGTTTTCCTTTTTCTTCTTTCATAATTCCATCTTTGTGATTTAATCAATTTGTAACCTTTTGTAGGATGGAGTTGTAACATAGATCTTCAAGAAACCAAAGATGCTTTGGTGAGAGCATATGATCTTCCCCTTTCAATTCTTATTGTTAGAGTGGAGGTGCCGATTTTACACATGGAGGTAAACATTTGATCGTTCTAAAAAATATTTTTGACATTTGTTCAGTCATACTCAATTAAATTTCAGAATATATTATTCTATTCTAATATAAAGAAATGAATTAAACTATTAATTTTTGTGACAACCGATTATAGGTTGTCGAATGTCATACTAAGCTATCAAATTCCTATTATCCACTAAAAGTCAAAACCTTGCCTTTTTCCCATTTAGATCTATTGACTCTTTCTTCAAAAAAAACCATTATAAATACCTACCATAACAAAGAACCAGCCCATCAAAAAACCAAATTCATAGCATCAAAATGCACGGCCTTGTTGTAGCGAATACGGTGGTGGCTGCGACGGCTTGTTCGGTGTGGGATATCTATGGCAGCCTTCAAGTTGTCACAATTATAAATACATTTCTGCCAGATGTACTTGGAACAGTAAAAGTCCTTGAAGGTGATGGACAAGTTGGCACACTTCTAAACGTTACATTTCCACCAGGTAAATTAATTCATATTATTTATCAAACATTTCATTTGAGCTACCGAATATTAAATATTAATTCTTCTTTGGTTTTTGTTTCAGGAACTCCTGGAGTTGGTTATATGAAGGAAAAAATTACAAAGGTTAATTATAAGAAGCGTGTGAAGGAAACACAAACCATTGAAGGAGGATTTTTAGCATTGGGCTTCAAACGCTATATAACTCAATACAAAATTATTGAGAATAATTTTACATCAAGTATTATAAGGTCAACAATAAAGTATGAGGTTGATGATAAATTATCAAACCTTGCTTCTATAGTGAACACCAAGCTAGTTGAAACACTTGCAGAAACCGTTGGGAAGTACTTGACGGAGAAGAAAGCTCCTCCTTAGAATCTACAAAAGGAATTCGACTGTTGTGTTGTATTCTTTTAAGTCTAGTTTATAAGGTTTCCGTATCTACTTGACAACTTTCATGTTTGAATTTACAAATTGTATGTTGATTTATTTTACTGTAATAAAACTCATATTTGTGGTTATAACTGTGGACAATTATTACGTGATTTTGTGACTACATGGATTTAGTTTATTGCATTTTGTAAAAATTGTTAGAATTAAGCATGATTTGAGTTTAAAATTTTAAAAATTTAAAACTTTCTAAATTTAAAAATAGGTGTTTGTAGGTTTTAAATTTAAAAGCTTCTTTTGTAGTGTTCAGCTTGCTGTAGCCAAACCTCGTCGTCGTCACCGTAATCACTGACACTATTGTGTACATCTTGTCTCAGTAGTGCCAGCACTATCACCAGACTTGCCGTCAGGGATGACGTCTGTCTCACTTTCAACGACTGGTTTAATTGGTACAAGTAGTTGGCATATTTAATTGGTTTCAAGTTTTAAGAGCAAGAAAGCATACTGTGGACGCAAACATTTCGAGCTCACTAGTTTGCCTTGTAAACGTCTATATTAAGAGTTTTTAATAAACTCGAAATAGATGAAAATTCACCTCTATTCATTTTAAAAAAGATGGATGGAAGAGGTTAACTCTTTTACGGTAATGGATGATATCCTTACAAGAGTAAACTAGAGTGCTCAAAAGCATTAAGACTCGGTAAATATCAAAATTGATGTGATGTCCCCTTTACGCAAAATTCTGGGTCTGCGCTAGTTAGAGCCCTTAAGTACTTGGCACTACCAAGGGAAAATATTTCTTTCTTAGTAAATAAACTCAACAAATTTTGTAAACACAAACTGCAACAAAAATGGCTTGCCTTTGAGGAAAAAAAAAAAAAAGTTAGTATTCTATTTGTTTTGCTTTTCTGTAGTTAATTTTGTTAATTATTAAGCCTGTTAAAGTCAATTATAAGCAGCTTTACTGACTTAGCTTAATATTCAGCTTTATGAAGTTAGCTTGTAAGCGTTAGCGCCATGAACCAAGACATGAATGATGTTATTTGAGCCTGACTTGATTTAGTTCAAATATAACAAAACTTTTTGATATTTTAACATTTGAGTTTTACCCAATTAGATTTAGATTTATATTATTCTTGTCGGAATTAAGACTGGTGAAGAGTGAAAGATAGACAAAGGAGACTCAAATAGATAATTTAATGAATTAATTGTTATTGAATTAACATTACCTATTCATACTAAAATAAACTATAAAACAAGGTAAGTAAAATATTCTAATGATTACTAAAATCCCCCAAAAGAGTAAAATAAATATTACTTAACTATTAGGGGGCGTTTGGTTGGCGGTAATATCAGATTATTGGGGTAATATCATCTGATATTACTTGATTACCACGTTTGGTTGTCAAGTAATATAAGATTTCGGTAATCTTCAAATACTAATAGTAACTACTATTGGTAATATTGGAGGTAAGCTGATTATCTCTATTTTCTTAGGTATTCTGAGATTACCAGGGTTATCCTTTTTTGTCACAATTTTATCCCTTATTAAGGAAAATTTTAGACAATAATGCCCTCATTTTAAAATAAATTTACATTAATATCCTATTTCAATTTTACCCTTATTTAACTAAAATTTTGGACAATAATGTCCTTGAATTTAAAACAATTTACAAACCACTGCCACTCAGCCACCACCACCACTGCCACTTAGCTACCATCGCCTACATCGTCCAACCACCACTGACTGCCTCGTAAAACTTGTCGGAGTCCCTAAAAAAGAACGAGTTTCGGTGGGAGGCTCTGGGAGTCATTGCTATGGCCGTTTTCGGCCATATCAGGCCAGATCTGGCCGAAAATGGCCAGATCTATTCTGGCCTGATATGGCCGTTTTCGACCATCAATATGGCCGAAAACGGCCATATCGAAGCCTCTTGGTCACGGTGAGTTGCTGATGGGGACTTTCGGAGACTTCCGGCAGTGGTCTGCGGTGGCGGCAGGCGGCGGTAGGAGGCGGCAGGAGGCGGGGGTGATTTCGTAATAAATTAAAGTTTTATATAAGCAGGGGTGTTTTAACTAAATCTGAAATATTGGGGGTTAAAAGAAATTATTCAAAAATTAATAATAAAAATAATATTATATTAATATTTGTAAAGGGGACAATTTAGTAATTTAAATAACATACCCACCAATTTATTTCCCATAACCAACCATATTAATATAACATACCCACCAACTAACCAAACACATTTTCTTAAATATTCCTAGTAATCTTTCAAGGTAATCTATCTTTCCAGTAATCCAATATTCCCAGTAATCTAACATTCCTGAACCAAACGCCCCCTTAAGGTAAATAACATATTTTTCTACCATTTGCATTCCAACAATTATATTTCTAAACAAGGAAAAGAATCAAATCATTATTTTTAAAATTGTCAAAATATATATTTTAATTTATAAAACAAGTTGTCTCAAGTCATATTTAAATTTATTGTATTGTATTTTAAAAAGTGAAATAATTAAATATTGATTTAAAATTTGTCAAAGTCATATCTAAATTTGATTTTGTGTTAAGGTATTTGACTGTGTCTTCAAATAAACTAAGAAATGACAATTTGTATCAAAAACTAAGAAATTATGTGCATGATCTAATAAAGTATTGATATGTCAATGATGATGAATATTTTTTTTTAATTACAAAACCAACTACACATTTTGAGTTCATGAATGATGTTGTTGTTACTGTCGGTTGTAATCCTAGTTCCGTTATTATCTTCATTTAATATATTCAGTCGTAGGTGTCCAAAACTTGAAATATATATATATATAATGTGTACTTTCTCTTTTTTGAATTCAGAATTCTTAGGTTAACTTATCAACATCATGCCCCTTTATATCATTGCACAAGTCCCCCAAAATTAATTTTAAACTTGGAAATTTGAAACTGACAATGTTATACTTAGAACTTTTAACGTGAATTGTAAAACTATAAATAGCACTTGAAAACTATATTATACGTGCAATCTATAAGGGTTTGTAACATGAATCAATTAAATCATTAATTTAAATTTTACTGTGGGGAATGATAATTAACGATGGAGTGAGACATGATAATGAAGGCTGATATGTTCGTGGCAGCTGGCAATGTTGTTGATGGAGAGTTGGAGTTTTGTTCTTTCACTAGACTTAAATATAAAATTAATTTAATTTCAGGATTAGTTATTATAATTCTAGATGTATACAATATTATTGATAAAGATAATCCAAAAATTAATTATAAAATTAATTTAATTTCGGGATTATTTATTACAATTCAAGATAAATAAAATATTATTGATAAATAATATTTGGATATTATAACCTCAAATGGTTGGCTTGGTGGTCAATAAAGTTTGCTGCTTTTATTTACTTCTTGAGTTTAAACCACCTTGGAGGCCACCTACTACATTTGTGGCTCCCCTGGAATATTGGGCTTGACGCCTGTTCAATAGACATCGATAATTAATTGAGAAGCACACCAAATTGACTCAAACACCTTGGTTATCCACAAAAAAAATAAAAAATAAAAAATAAAAAATAAAAAATAAAAAATCTTTTACCATTTAAAATAATTTATAAAATAAAATCATTTACCGAAAATGGAAATTTAAACTAAATTATGATATTAAAAACCTATAAAACTATGTAGTTTCCAAATGACTTCTTTTAAACTTGGCAAACATTTAATAATAGGTCATAATACCTATTTACCTAAGCAAAAGTTGGGGTTTTAATAGGAAAAATATAAAATAATTATAAATTGATCCTCATGGAAATTAGGGGTGAGAACGGGTAGCGGATAGAACCAGAACCTATGGGTAGAACCGGAACCTACCCGGAATTGACACTGTGTAGGTAAGTTTCAGTTCCATTTTTTTGGAACCAATACTGTGCGGTTCTGGTTTCGGTTCTTACATGCAGAGGAATCGGAACCGAAACTTGGAAAAAAGAACCTGTAGCAGGTACCCAGCTTGGAACCTGTAACGGGTACCTTGCTTTGGAACCTGGGTTGAAATAAAATATATGTGAAGAATGGGGGGTCTATGTAATTTTACATATAAAAAAATTAAAATGGAAAAAGTTAAATTTTTACAATAACCTAATTAAATAAATATACAATTATACTTATTACATATAAACTATACTATATAAAAAACTTTAATATATTATAATATATTAATATTAAAGTTTTGATTAATTAAGTGTATAATTGTAATTAGGACCAATTAAAAGTATTTTAATGTTATTAAAAGAATTGTTTTTGAATAAAATAGTGTATTTGATTGAATAATAATATAATATTTAGTTATTTACTTCAATTATCAAGTTTTATGTACATCTATAGTAAATTAGTAATTAATTAATTATATAAAATAAATTTATAAACATTAATACATTACTAGTTAAATGATTACTTAATCAATTATAACATTATATTATAGTTAAATGATTAATTAATTAATTATAAGTTTATAACATTACATTAGTATTTTACTACATTACTTAATTAAATAATTAGAAATTTAATTAATTATAACATTACATTATAGATTTATAGTATAATTACTTAATTAATTATAACATTACATTATAAAAAGATGATTACTTAATGAAATGATTAGTTAATTAATTATAACATTTCATTATAAACATTAGTACAAGATTTAATTAAATGATTAAAAATGTAATTACTTATAATATTACATTAAAGATTTATAGTATGGTTACTTAATTCATTATAACATTACATTATAGTAAGATCACATAATTAATTATAACATTACATAATTAAATGATTACTTATTTAATTATGACATATATTATAAAAATGAGTAATTTACTACATTAGCACAATACTTAATTAAATTATTAGAAATTTAATTAATTATAATATTACATTATAAACAAATGATTACTTAATTAAATGATTAGCTAATTAATTATAA